TATATATATATATATATATAATTATTATTTTTTTTTTTTTAATTGGAGGCATCAATCCTCCTGTCATGCACTTTATCACAGGAAAATACCAACACAAAAGGAGCTTGAAAAGAAGCAGCTTATGTGACTGGGATTAAAACCATAAATCTCTGCTCACACGTGAAATGGCTTTTTTCTTTTTCCTCAATGGGTTTTTAGTTAAGTGCAGCAATAGGTGTTTTTTTGAATTGCAAAAAAGTTCTGACATTATCGTTAAGGCAAAGGAAGAGGTGAAACATACCAATAGATGAAAACATGAAATCTCAGGTAAAGAAAGCTAAAGGTAAATGCAAAATGCTCAGCATTTAAAGTACATTTATGAAGTGAAAAATTAATTAACCCTTTCACTACACACAATTATGCAATTTATGTTAATCTACAAGTTATGAGTCGGAGTAAATTTATAAAAAGGAAGTAAATTTCAAAATGCTAAATTTAGTCTATCTGGTTGACTCAACTTGCTTTATTACACAGTTAAGTAATTAAGTGAAAGATTGAAAGTGGGCCACAATGCTTTAATTACTGTAGATTTGATGTATCTTTTTTTTGTTGTTGTTTTTTTTTTTTTTCAGTTTATTTGAATTAGTTTTGGTCTTTGCCCTTTGGAATTTCTTTTTCATTTTTCCCCTTAGTCAGTTTACGGTTTCCTGCTGGGTTATTTTACTCGTGTATGTGTTTTGTTTTTTTATTGAAATACTAGTTGTTTATTTCTGTTTTTGTCAAGTGAATTGTTCCATACTCCTGCCTCTAAGAAGATTGCTTTGGATTTTTTTCCTATTTTTGAGATTGACTTTGTTTGGTTTCATGTATACGAATGTCTTGTAAAAGAGTTTGCCCACTGTCTATAATCTTACTATATAGATATATGGATGGATAGATGGACAAGGCCTTAATTTTGTTTTTCTCAAAATATACTGGTTACAAAAAAGACTTTCAAAGTAAACCCATTACACCATTGCTATGGTAGGTTAGATGTTTTTTTGTTTTTCATTTGTTGCTTCTAATCTAAATGCACAGTACACAGATGAGAGTTCAGAGCACAAAACAATAACCAGCTTCTAAAAATATTTTTATGGTACCTTGTGCATTTACTGGCACCTTTCTTTAAAATGAATGATCCATCCTTTAATGAGAACAAATTCATATTTTTGAAGTGTTGGTACTAAAATAGCTTTTATAAAATGAATAACACTTGTAAGGTTTATTTTGTATTTAAATCAAAAGAACTGGTAATTAGTAATCTATTTTAGAGTCCCTGGAGTGTAAAGGTGAAATGACAAGACTATTTCCATTCCTCGATTTAAGGAGGGATGGTATCCCCCTTCTTAAAAATGTTAAAAATCATTCCGCTTAAGTGACCAAACCATCCCATGTGACATTTATTACTGAATATGTAAAATGTCTATATANCCTTTAATGAGAACAAATTCATATTTTTGAAGTGTTGGTACTAAAATAGCTTTTATAAAATGAATAACACTTGTAAGGTTTATTTTGTATGTAAATCAAAATAACTGGTAATTAGTAATCTATTTTAGAGTCCCTGGAGTGTAAAGGTGAAATGACAAGACTATTTCCATTCCTCGATTTAAGGAGGGATGGTATCCCCCTTCTTAAAAATGTTAAAAATCATTCCGCTTAAGTGACCAAACCATCCCATGTGACATTTATTACTGAATATGTAAAATGTCTATATATTAACAGTAATGGCAATAATATTGCACTTTCAATCTTTGGCGGGCTGTGGGCTTACAACTAGCCTGAGCAAAATAAAAAAATAAATAAAAGAAGTGGCCTACCATGAGTATTAATCCAATCGCAGTTAGAAATTTGTCCTCTGCATTTGTTCCCAACTATATAGGGGCAGTGATATCCATGCCAACCAGGTACTGACTGCAGTTCTGTAAGGTGCCTCGGTCGAGATCAATGACTGGCATACCTAAAATTTAACAACCATATTATGCATAATGTTTTACATTAATAGACCATATTAATTAGGCTCTGTATGCTTCCAAAAGAAGCATACAGAGCTTTATTTTATTTCTTTGATTTTTTTAACAGCTAGACTACTGACCATTTCT